ACAAAATAGCTAGGAATTGGGTGGCGCCCGGAAAACTTAGTATCGAAGCACGAAAGTAAGTATAGGTGGCTGGGATTTGACTGAAACATTTTCTATGATCAGTGGTTATCACAATTTTGTAATTCACTTACCTACTACCCTGAGTAAGAACATCTCTCTCTACGCTGTTACATTTTTGGCTAACAGAGCTAGCTGGCCGATCAGCGGCGTGTGTGTTTCGCACATGGTAAAATATTATAGTGCCCTGCCTTCACAGCTTGCGCGTTATATATACATATAAATAAAGTTAGTTGTAATTGAAGGGTATTTTGTTTACTTATAAGCTTACGTATATATGGAGTTGAGGGAGGAAAAAAGTGTTTCCTAGTGCAGCTTTCGACCCTCAAAACGGGGCGAGAAATGATATTTTCTTAAGAGGTAGTAGGAAAAAATAATTCCACACTCCTAACATCAACTAACTAAAATGCTCAAGATCACGGTCTTCTTGCGTAACGAAGCCCAAACCAATCGTTACTATACCGGGTGGTCCTCGTAAACGGCGAACTCCACTCCAAAATTCCGGTTGCTTCGTTACACACTCCCCTTTCTTCGGGAAGAAAAGAGTGAAACTATTCGGCACGGTATAAAAATAATTCCTAAAACAAAAAAACTCGGGGCGGGAAACAGGCACAAATATGGAAACCCGACTGATAGATTCATTGGTTTATTATTTCTCTCCTTTGTCTTTACATCACAAAAATTTGTCATCGCGGTGGCCCTCTCAGGGCAAAATGTCCCTTAGGGTCCCGGGCTTCCGGCAGTTTCGGACAGCAGGAGCACCGGGATGACAGTCTCCCGACCACCTCGCACCTGGAACAGAAGATGGTGGCCAACGCCCACATCTCCAACATAAATGGACAGCCAGATTGGGATTCCGGGTACTTGTCACCCGCAGCAGGAGTTGGCGTTTCAAATTTCGGCCGTTGTCGCGCAGCGTCACCCGCACTGGTTCACCCATTCCGGGACTTGTCTGAATACCTACCGAACGGGTGGTGCGGGGGAAGGGCTCGGGTGCCCACTGACCGGGTGGTTGCCTCATTCCTCGGTGTTGATTTTTGTCTCGCCTTCTCCAAGCTTTCAATCCAGTCTGGAACCTCTATCTCTGTATCGGAAATTCTAAAAAAAATAAGAAACCCCCCTAACTTAGTCGATTACGGCGATGTAATTAATAACTATTGAATATATCGCAGCATAACACAGCAAAATGGAAATAAAATGTATTTTTATTTATTGACTAAACTCAATCTGACATATTTTTATTTTATTATTCAAAGCCAACCTATAGATAAAAGGAGTTCTAAACTGTGATCTCCAACACTCCGCCTCAATTCCTATCGATAATGTTCGATTGGTAATTGCAAGTTCAAATCCATTGGTTTCGGACGGCAAGGGGCCGGGATGACAATCTCCCGACAACCCCGCACCTGGAGCAGAAGATGGTGGCTTGTGGGGCCGGGCATGCCCTACGCCAATGTCCGATCCTCCCACATCTCCAGCACAAATGGATCGCCAGCTCGGGGTCCCGGGCACTGGTCACCCGCAGTAGGGGTTGGCGCTCCACATCTCGGTTGTTGTCGCGCAACGCCACCCGCACTGGTTCCCCCACTCTGGGACTGGTCTGAACGCCTACCTTCGGTATCGATTCTCTCGTCTCTTCCAGGCCTTCGATCCAGTCGAGGACCTCGATTTCTGAATCGGACATTCTAAAAAAATATAAGAAAAAACAAATAAATTCTCCCCCTCAGGGACGGATAAAACGGGGCGGTGTCAAATCAATACCGGTTACCCTATGGTCGATAGGGTTTCAGATCCTTTACGTGGACTCTCGGAATCTTAGTCCGCTCGGATGGATGCTTCATGGTGAATAACACTGGTGACTCCACTTTGGAAACAGCATATGGGCTGGAGTACTTCGGCGCCAACTTCGCGGCATACCCCATGGCAGCTTTGGACAGGGGGTTGCCTTTCCGGAGTACCAAATCACCCACACACGGTTTCCATTCTCGGTGTCGGAGGTTGTAGTGCCTGTTTAGAAAACGCTCGGCCTATATTCCTAGCGACTAGCTGAAACACATCCTGAAGATTGTCTAGACGGTTACGGTGTTCGGGAATTTGGCGGTCAGGCCGGTAGGGGTATCGGGATTCGGAGGTTCTTGCTGACGGTGGACAGTCGGAAGAACACGTTCACGGGCAAAATTCAAGTAGGCGGGAGAAAATCCGGTTGATTCTTGGACGGAGGAATTCATAGCCATTTTAGTGATTTTCTTCACAAAACTGAGCGATCATGGTTTTTAAAGTTCGGTTGGCACGTTCGACGGGATTGGCCTGCGGAGTATACGACGGTGTGAAACGGTGGGTAATACCAAGTTCGGAGACGAGATTTTTGACATTTTGGCTGTCATACTGTGCCCCATTATCGGTAATCAAAACCCTCGGTGTACCAAAACGTGTAACAACTTCCTCAAATAAAGCCTGAGAAACGGTAGCGGCGGTGGCTTTACGAACGGCTTTGAAACATACCCATTTGGTAAAACGATCTTGGAAAACCAGAAGATATTGGTTTCCTTTCGAGGAACGAGGAAGTGGGCCTACAATGTCGGTACTGACAATGTCTCAGGGTAAACGGTTAGGATACAGCTGCATTTTCCCTGTGGCTTGCTGTTGAGATACCTTGTACATTATTATTATTATAAATAAAACTCAAACATTTTTAACTAACTTACTAAAACATTTTGGAGCGCACAATAAACACAAGAAGTGCTCTTCGCGGTGCTATCATAACTACACCTACTACTAATGAATCCTTGGACGTTAGGACTGTATTAATTCACTACAGCCGACTTGTACCCCATTGCATAATACAATTTTTGTATCTTTCTGCCGTCTTGCATGCTGAAATGTAATTTATTTTCTCCACCGCTACGATGTAATTTGTGATGTACACAGAAATTCAATATATTATAAGACCACCACCAACTACTATCGCATGGTGGAGACGAGGAATCCGACGCTCCACAGGCTGATGAAGCTGCATCTGAGGCGGTATACGGACGCAGGCAGATAGCGCCTATTGGGTACGTGCTCTCTTCTATAATGAGCTATTTTTGGTTCAAAGGACTCGATATGCTCAATGAGTAATTTGATGATTGAACTTGTTTTTTTCGAATTCTTCCTCTTCTCTTTTCAGGTTCGGACGCTATTTTGTTCTTAACGCGGTTAAGTTTGCAATTTCTTCCATATCCTAAGGTAGCGTAGCGAGGAAAAATACTTTGCAAACCCTAACTGCTGATCCCTCATTATTTTTGAGAAAGTATTGATGTGTGTTAGAACGCCTTGAATAAGATCCGACAGTTTTACGTTTGACAGGCATTTTACTAACCATATTGCAAACAAAACTCTTCCTCTCTTGTGGAGAACCGAGTGCCCAAAACTCTTCATTAATTTCTAGCTTTTGATATTGCGGATGTACATTTGAGTTTGCAGGTACCCTATACACATGGACTCCTCACAGGGTGAGCTTCGGCAATTCTCATTCTCTTTATTTCCTTACGTTCTTGACGGGAAAAGTCAAATTTCCGCTTTTTTCTTGGGCAGCCTTTGGTGAACGAGCTCGAATATTGAAGTTCATTGCGTACATTTGAATTATTAGGGATGGTCAGCAGATTATCTCCTGTGGAAGCATCTTGAACTATAACAGGTAAGTCTTCTATTTCTCCAGGAATATATACGATGTCATCTATAGGTAGGTCTAATATATCTACATTTGACGAAACAGGTAACAAGGAACCATCTTCATTGTTTACTTCATATAAGAATTTGTGAACGTGTTTCATCTTCTTTGAAATATTATGCTGGTCGAGAAACATAGTACCTGTTAATATAAATATCGTGTTAAAATCTTCTTGACTCGAAGTGCCTCTTTTTCAACTAATTCTTCGGTGTTTGAAGTTGGTTCTTCTTCATTGTTTACATCTCCGTTGAGAAGAAGAAGGGCATTCGAATCTTGCGTGCCAATTCTAATATCACCCAGTAACCATTCGTAAATCTTTTTATGGCGAGGGTCTTGGCGTGGATTAAACTCGTACTAATATTCGACTCTTTGCTAACATCAATAAATGTTTCCAAAGCATTACAGCTTTGCATATTGTGCAGCTGTACATATGGCATCGTTAGTTATATACAAAATATCCTTATAGGTACTACTAATAACATTATTTACACTATTGGATTCTAAATCTGCTATAAACATTTTAAAATACGACGGTACACTAGAACCAGTAGCAGTGTTAGTAAACGATCCCAGTTTACATGCGCATAATATTTCATCAAATTGTCCAGTTCAATCTTTTGCACTAATAACTTAATAATTTCCTTGCACATATTTTTAGATTTAGCGCACCAATTGAAGCAATCATCCCAGGGACGTAACAACTTAGGAGCGGGCCCTGGTGCAACACCAAACATACGGGCCCCACTGCATCATTAAAAAAAATTACTAGCATAATAGTTTATTGAACAATGCACAAAAACGTATGGCTGAACAATGGTAACCAACATGATAACATAAATTCAATTCAATATAAGACAGCTTAATTACAAGTACTAAAAAAGTCTACTTTTCTTGCCTTTTGATGAGCAAACAGAGAAATTACATTATGTAAATCTAATGTTCTGGCTGTTTCATTTTCAATTGATAATATTGCCAAAGCTGAAAGTCTGCTTTGTGACATTTTACTTCGTAAATAGATTTTAATCAATTTTAGGATGGAAAATGATCTTTCCGAAGATGATACCGATATGGGAATTGTCAGGTAGAGTATAAAAGCACAACACACTTCCTTAAATGAACTTAATATCATTGGATCGCAAATAACCAATTTTGCCAAGTCATGAATTGAAATATTTGAGTTTATTTGTTCTTTATAAACGTGTCTGAATGACAAAAGTTCTTGTGCAAATGAGCTCGATAAATCATTGGGATAAAAGTTAATTAAATTTTCAGTTAGCTGTATTAAATCTGAGTCCGAGTGATCTTTTAAAACTGAAGGGAAAAGCACCTTAAATCTTTCAACTATGCTATTTAGTCCTTTGAATCGATTTTTAATTTGTGAAATAATGACGTCCAATGTAAGATTAAACACAGAAACACGGAAGTTCTCCTGTAAATTTGTTAGTCGTTCGTCAGATGACAGCTCATCGAATTGCTTTTTCACTCTGCGAAGTCGTGAATTTTTGAAATGCGGTTGAATTCCCCAACTACGGGCTGAATCAGCAGCTTCATTTACAATTTCCGAAAAATTTTCCCTAATCCTTGAAATATCTTCCTTAGCAGATTTCAAGAGTTTTGAGGCTCTTTCAATATCTTGATTTTTGCTCTGCAGTGCATTGGATACAATTTTGGTAATGCTTAAGATTTTATATTCCATCACTATTATCACAACTGTTTCAAAATTTTCGAGTTTTTTCTTCAATCCGAGAGCTTCACTTTGTTCAGTTACTTTTGAACTTGTTAAAGATAATTTGGTTAAAACTTGCAAAATTTCTCGATAGTGAAACCTCATGCTATGAAGGGAACCATAACGGGACGACCATCGCGTGGGACACAACCGTTTCAAAGTATGCTTTTTGGATTCAAAGGTTTCCATCAACATTGCCCATCGTTTTATGCTATGTGCAAAAAACGCATACAGACATTCCACAGTGTCGTAAAAATTGTGTAACTCTCTCGAAATTTTTATAGAGTCGTTGATGACTAAGTTTAAATTGTGTGCAGTATATGTACATACAACGCATTGGGCTGTTTCTCCAAAATCTTCGCTTGCAGACCGTTGTAAATACCGCTCATGTTGGCTGCACCATCGTAACCTTGAGCTCGTAGTTTTTCCACGCTCAAATTATTTTTTTCAAAAAAAGATAATAACTGATTTACCATGTCCTCTGCATCATGTACAATATTTACAGTATCTGCGTCTTTAATGAGGTGCACAAATCTTATTACAAAGCTCACTTGATCAACTTTTGCGATGTCCTGTGTTGTGTCCATTATTATTGAAAAAAATGGAGATTCATTTATCTGGCCAATTAATTTAGTTTTCACCTCTGTGGCTAAGAGTTCGATAATTTCGTTCTGAATCGTTGGTGACAAATATTTCACAGAATTCTTGTCTTTGGATAAAAGCTCCTGTAAAACAGGATCATAAATTGCCAACAATTTTATAATATTTAAAAAATTGCCACGATTATTATCACCATCATACAATGACTCATGAGCTCCTCTGAAAGATACATTATTTTCAGCCAAAGTTAAAGTAACGTTAATAACTCGTTCAAGCACTTTAACCCAATAATTGGTCTCAAATTTCATCTTTTTGTCCAAATCCATATCTATAATTTGATCACTTTTCCATTTGCTATATCATATCATGTCAACAGACATTTGTAAATGTTTCATATTATAAATTTAGACTCCAACAACTGTTGAAATATGGAGAATAGTTGCTAACGAATTCTACAACGATTGGCAATTTCCACAATGTTTGGGAGCACTTGATGGTAGACATATCAAGTTCAGGGCCCCACGATCTGATGGATCGTATTATTTTAACTACAAAAATGAACATTCCATTGTCTTAATGGGATTAGCTGATGCGAAATTGTTTTTTGTACGTTAATGTAGGGGTCAATGGGCGTATAAGTGATGGTGGCGTATTTCGCGAATGTAAATTGTCAAAGGCAATGATGGAAAATAAATTAAACTTTCCCAGACCAATGCCATTACCTGCCAGAGAATTAAAAGTGCCCTTCGTTGTTGTAGCCGATGATGCATTTCCTTTGTTGCCTAATCTATTAAAACCATATTCGCAGAGAGGGCTATCACACGATTGCAGAATCTTTAATTATCGTTTATCAAGAGCGAGAAGAGTCATAGAAAATGCCTTTGGAATTTTGGCCAATAGATTCAGAGTTCTGTTAAACCCAATCAATTTAAGTGCTAATAAAACTGAAACAATTACGTTAGCATGTGTTGTTTTGCATAATTTTTTGGCTACTCGTAGTGTTTCGTATGTAGAAATTACACCAGAAGAGCTTGCAACTAACAAGTTAGAAACACTATTACCGCAAAGAGGTAATAGACCCTCGAATCATGCTTTACAAGTTCGCGAAGAATTCAAAAATTTCTTCTGTAGTGTAGAAGGTTCTGTGCCATGGCAAGAAAATTCTATAGCCAACTATGACATGTAATTATTGAATATTTATACATAATATGAAAATAAACCTAATTACTTATTACTGTTATTGACATTATACATTGTGTTGTTTATTTATAAAAATCTTATAATTTCTAAAAATAACTTCCATAATTTCTTCTTCAGCTGTTGCTCTTATGGTATCATCAGTAATTGAATTTAAACGAAATGCAACGTAATTACTGAAGGGACTGTTGTATGTGGGTGTAGGTTTCCTCTGCTCATTAGCTGTACGAATTGCACCTAAGGTTAATGCTTGTTCTTCAGCAAGTTTGTCTTCCTTACGAACTTTTTTGGAGGGCCGTACTGAAGGAGTAGATGGAATGTTTTCATTGCTGGATATTTTCTTCTTGTTTGGTATAAAACTGCCGACAGTCTGTGTATCGTCAGTAGGAAGAAGAGAAGTAGCAGGGGAGGAAATATTTGAATTTATAGTTTCAATATCACTTTCATCGATATATTCAATAATAACGTCATTTCCATGGTCGATGTCCTGCGCAAAATTAAGATTGATCGAATTAAATTGAATAACAATTTGTATGTTAGCCTTACGTCACTTCCATTATCGATATCCACTGTTGCAGCAGTAATGTCTAGCACATCAGTCGACTTCCGAGGAGTGATATATTTATCGATAAAACGCATTATATCAAAATACCACAAAGACGGTTTTAATATCTAAAAATTAAATAATAACATCTCAAATCCACATTATATTTGTCAAACTTACATCATCTGCACCTGCACCACTTTTTTGTGTAGATTCGTATTTCCGGAGTTCGCTTAAATAATTGGTCCTGAGGCCATTCCATTTAACTTTAATTTCTGGTATCGTGACGTTTCTCCCCATGGATTTAAGGCATTCCGCAATGTTTTGTAATGCAGCATTCCTAGCATGTTTGTTTTTATACAAAGGTGAAGTTACCATATACAAACATTCGTTGGCTCTGTAGCACTCAATAAGCGCTTGAACTTGTTCTTGTGACCAACCCATTTTTTTTAACGAGATTCACAATTTATTAATAACAAGCTCAGAATTCACAACACAGCCACCAAGCACGATTGTAATGTAAACTACTAAACGTAAACAAAGCAAAGCTTCTGAATTGAATGGTTGATTTGAGGTTATATTTAAGTTTTGTGTCAATGCGCATTTTATTTGCACATTTTTGCTACAAGATTTTAAAGCTAGCGCTATTTTCTTGTATTTAATTTTTTTTATGCAAAAATTTTTGTACAAGATCGTGTATGTTACGTTATAAATTAATTAGCACCAAAACTTGTAACGAATCTTGCACAAGAAAAATGATCGTGTCAGACGGGCTTAATAGTAGGGGAGCTAACACGAAATCCACTGAACGAGAATGATCAAAATTTTAACCGATGGTGTTCCATTTTGCCCTATCAGAGTATGCTAAAATCGATCGCCTCAGGTCATACGACTTAAGGCGCTGCGGGTACTTCTTGTGGTACCAATTCTGAAAGGTTGTTTTTCGAAAAAATAAGTTATACACCAAATGAAAACGTCAGTAGTTAAACAAGGAGAGTTCTGGCACAATGTAAATCTCCATAAGCGCAATGCTAAAGTATGGGTTCATTTCAGTGACAAAAACTCACTTTTTGGATCGGTCTTGATAGCGGTGTTTTTTTCGAGGTTTGAGGGGTTGTATATGTGTGTAGGGGTAGTGGATGTGTTTTAGGGGGGTTGTGTGTTAAGGGGTAGTAGGAAAAAACAAATTTCTAATTTTAGAATCATGCTTAGTAACACAAGCGGCGGCGTACTTGATTGCGGTGTTTTTTTCGATGTTTGAGGGGTTGTATATGTGTGTAGGGGTAGTAGATGTCTTTTAGGGGGGTTGTAGATAAGGGGTAGGTAGGTAAAAACAAATTTCTAATTTTAGAATCATGCTTAGTAACACAAGCGGCGTACTTCATAAAATGTATAACTTAGTAGTAGTCGTTTGCGGTTGAGATTTATTTTTAGATGTTATCTTAGTAACATAGCGTTAGAAATAAAACGTCTTGCGGTTCTGTTGATAAGACAAACACATGTGTTTGTGGTTTACTATAATCCTTCAATGGTTGTAGTGTTATCGATGTAGTACAATATTTGTTGCAAGTTTTCGATACAGATTTCGAGATTGTGGTCTACAGATGGAAAAATTTACAATGTTGCTGAAGCAAATATTTATAACATTGAGGTTTTACAACAGAAAAATAAAACGTTATCAAAATGAAATAGGTATAAATATGCAACGTAGTTTAGTCAATATCATTCAAATTTTACTCTCCATAGGTATTAAGAAAAAATGTCAACTATAAACGAAATTACTGTGCCTATGAATAAATGCGAGTGGCTCTTTTCAGTGATTTGTCGGTATGTACCTACCATCGGTAAGTAATAGTGCTTTTCAAGTAATTGTAATCATAACTAATGGTCATATTTACAGGGATATACAGTGCTTTGCCCATGTGCACATAATCTAGTCTACGATGAGACCGAGCACAATTTATTGTTCTTAGAGCCATTTTTTGGGGATCATTTTATTTGGGTGTTTGAGACAAAATGCAGGAGCTCAACAACAATTTTTTGCAGGGTAGGACCGTAAGTAAGGTAACAATTTTTTTGTTTCAATAATAAATTATGTTTGCTTTTATTATTACAGACGACGTATGTCCACCCCAAGAAATTGTTTTTGCTAAATTGGAGGTTTTACCTACTGTTATTTAATAAAAAATATATTTGAGTTATCTTTTTTTATTTTGTGACATATGTATGTATATGAGACCTGTTTTATTATTACAGACGACGTATGTCTACCCCAAGAAATTGTTTTTGTTAAATTGGAGGTTTTACCTACTGTTATGTTATTTAATAAAATATATTTGAGTTATCATTTTTTATTTTGTGAGATATCAACCTGAAGAAGAAGGAAGAAGAAGAATTGATTTAATTAGATTTATTACATTTAAATATTTCACAATACAAGCCTTTACATGGAACCTTATTTTATGTTTAATTATCAAAAAAATAGTTTGATTCTAGTAGAAACTCATCATATTCAAATAACTTAAATTTTAGCGGATCTCTATTGATATGACAATATGCATTATGATTAGGCAAATCCTCTAGTTCCATTTCAGGATTTAGAACCATCCAGAATTTATCCATTTCAATTTTCATTAGAAATGCGCGCACTCTACTAAAATAATCCAATTCTCGTTCATTATTGCGTTTTTCAATGCCTAATGCCGCTGCAGATGTCTCTTCCTCTTCATTGTCGCTACTAAATGTTGAATGAGATGATAATGAATTAGAAGAAGAAGAAGACCACGATGTTGTTGGTGCAAGTTCCATTAGTTGTGGTGGTTCATAAGGTGTTATCCATGGATGGTTACATGTTAATGTAGGGCGCGCTTTTTCATAATATTCACGTGACGGCACACGTCTAGGGTTTGTATATTCACATACCTCAACTAAGAGTGTTGATTTATTGGAAGTAGGTATTAGTTTAACATCACTTTTTTCAAATATTTTAATGTTCGTTAAGGTTTCTCTCACTATAGTCTTATATTCAATTTTTGTTACTCTTTCTTGCCATAATGATTGTAAGTACCTTAATAATGAGCATGGCATGATAATATGCCCATATATATTACACTTTTTAAATGAACGATAGTTAAATTTATTTAAGATCACAATCCCACAAATTTGTTTCAAACTTCTCGGCTGATTTATAAAAATTAATGTTGTCCAACCTTCAGGTTCTTGTATAAATTTGAAATTTGTAGTAAATGGGTGCAACACAAGCTCTTCTTGTTGAATAATTTCAAGTGTTTGCCGATGACCATCAATTGCAGGTATATTTAATAATGTCATCATATTCAGACATTTTTTTCTTCAAACTATACTTTGCTCTCACTACTAGTAGGTATACTATTAAACTTTGAATACAACGATCATTTTCTCATGTATATATAAAACCAAATGCCGAGCATTGAGCTGGAAACTATTATTAACCTTTGTGGTTTCTTGTTTTTCTTTGCGGTTTCCTGTTTTTCTTTGCGGTTTTCTGTTATTTATTAGATTCATTTCCTGTTATTGCAGTGGAGAGTCACCTTGAGGTTTTCCTGTTATTCTCCATTCGAGATTGTTGTTTCATTGGAGGGGAACGCTCAGTATATAAGGGTTATAATTGGTGTCGTATCGTCAGCTGCATCATAACAGTGAAATGGATTTCAACAGAATTTTAAACAAAATCAATGCTGCTGGAATTGGAAAAGAACGAAAACTTCTTAAGGTGCATGAAATGGAAGTGGGGAAAGTGTATGAAATTGAAAAGTTTAAATCAATATTTAATGCATATGGACGAGGTATAGTTTGTGAGCTTACCGATCATGTTGCATTTTTCCTACCGCAGCGCATGGCACGGGAAATAAATGATGAAACTATAACTCAATTTAATAAATTAAAAATGGGTGTGGTTTTAAAACAAGATATTATAGATGAGGGCCTTCCACAAATTCAGTTAGTTCCCATTGAGACTAATGATTGAAATAGTGGGGATGAGGGTACGTAGCATCATATATTATCATACAATAATTGATGTGTAATTATTTTCATTTTACAGAGTGTGCGAAGACGTGAAGGAAGCAACACACTCATCAGCATCATAATAATCATCATCAATACATTGCTTAAATTGTATAAGTTATAATTATGACACAAATAAATGAAGGTAATAAAAACGTTATTATTATTGATGTGCAGGGCTTTAATACAAAGGTAGGTTTTGTGCCTAAAGAGTTAGCAACTTATAATGGAAAACAGTTTGCACATTTCTTGTTTAAACCTCCATATCCATGGCACATGTTAGAAATAGATTATCAAAAACAGGCAAACTGGCTTACTGCTAATCATCATTGTTTAAGGTGGGGTGATGGTTTTACACCTACATACATGTTTTCCAATATACTAGTTCAATTGGTTGCACATGCAGATGATGTTTATGTAAAAGGTCGAGAGAAAGCAAAATATATACAAAAACTTCTAAAACAACAACGTGTCATTGAAGTAGAGGAACAGCCTGCATTATCTGCATTAGAAGCTTCTTATCCTTTTCATAGTAAATCATTGTGTCATTGTGCTCTATCTCATGTTTTTACTATTTATAACAACTATATAATGCAATGTGTCTGAATAAAAAGTTTATTAAAGCTGCTGTATTTGTACAGGAAACATCTATTCAAGATGTTGAAGATACTTATTATTATAACTGTGCTCCTTATCACTAACATTAATTGCACAGCTGAGAATGGTCATACTGAAGATTGCGCTAACGAAAAAATTGTAAAATATTTAATAAAATTTGGCTATCTGGATGGTGAACCTGATCAATATTTAAAGTCTGCAACAACACCTGTAACATTTGAAAACCAAAACGTTGCGTTTGCATTAAAAAGAATGCAAGGTTTTTTCCGTATGAATGTAACCGGTACAGTTACTAAGGAAGTACTAGATTTAATGACTCTTCCTCGATGTGGTGTGAAAGATGTGGTTGGAGAATTTTCAGTACATCGTGCGAAATGGCCATCGTCGACTATTAGATGGAATTTTCATAATGCAAATCAAAACTTGCACAAACTAGCCGAAGTGGCATTTCAAATTTGGGCTCGTCATGCAAACTTAACGTTTATACATGACCCAAATAATCCAAATATTTTAATTTCAATGCGCGACGGTTATCACACATACTTGACACATAACGTAAGGTGTCCTCATAATTTAGTGGGTGATGTAATGGCTCATGGTTTTTTACCTGAAAGAGGAGTAAATCGTTTAGAAATTCATTTGAGAACTGATTATGATTGGTATTTAGGAACGGACATGGTGCCATCAAATTTAAGCAACTTACTTTTTGTATTAGTACACGAAATTGGACATACATTAGGGATTCAACATTCTGGTGACCCAGCAGCAATTATGGGCGCTGTGTATTATCATAATCTTCATCGTGATAATTCCAATTTAGATTTAACAATGGATGATATGCTGGCTATACAAAATTTGTATGGACCTAAAGATTATTCTAGTCGATTACCTTCGAAATCTATTACTTCTACTACTACTACCAGTAGTACTAGTAGTCGTCGTAGTATTTCTCATACGCAGTATGATCATCATCAGCAACATCAAACACAAAAAGCTGCAAGTGTTGATAAAAAACCAGATTTATGTGCCAAAATGAAATTTATTAATACATTTTTGGTGGTGAATGAGAGGCTCTACGTGTTCTACAAAAAATATTTATGGATAATTGCATTAAATAAAAAAGTGTATACAGATCCAATATTAATAACGAATTGGTTAACATGGTTACCGAAGACCTTCAATCAAATTGATGCAATCTATCAACGACCTAGCGGTGAAATTGTTTTATTTATAAATAACGACATCTATATGATGGAATTTCCATCCTTAAGACTGGTACACGGGTATCCCAGAGTGAATACCGTATTAGGTCTGAATGCTGCAGCAAAAATCCACGGTGCACTTAATACTTATACAGGGCGAACATATATTTTTTACAATAAAGACTACGTTATGGAACTTGGTGAATGTACAATGATGGCTAAAAGTCACGGCATACACGTGAAAACTTTCCCAGGGTCACCGGCCAGCTTTGATTCGGTATTACGATTTACAAATGGTCTCATATATTTTTTCGATAAACAGCATGTCTATGAATATGATGAATTTAGCGCTCGATTAGTGAGATCGTTTAAAAAGGATCTTGGTGTTTTTGGTCTATCTTGCCCTCAGGAGACAATTTTGCAACAACTTAAAAACCTTTTAACAAGTTTATTGAGTAAGTCGGATTCAGATGTAAATCTTATAGATGATGATGGCGCCTTCGATAGTGACGATGACTACATTAGCGAATAAAAATTGTAGATGTCTCAGACTGATAAAAGTTGAAAACAAACTCTCAAAATGTAGTTTCGTGTTGAACGTCAGACTAAACGTTGTTGATCTAAAAATGGATAATATAAATCGTGCAATAAAAAATTTTACAACTCTTGAGAATATGTCAAAAGAAGAAATTCTTGACATACCAATTGAATATTTGAAAAAACATGCTCAAACACAGTTGGGACAATATTTTGATAAGTTACCTGACGAATATAAACGTCAACTTTTTAATTATCAATTTTGCTATAAACATTATTGGAATAATAGATATGAAATACAAATTGATGGTCCTGCGTCACAAATGATTAATTGTCAAGAGTGTATTCGAGAGAGGGTGGGAGAGGTTCAAAAGAAATCAAAACATTTAAGTAAACTTCAGTATTAAAAGTGCAGTGCATGAACAATGTCACATCAACAAGTTTTTCCACAAGAAAAAATTAACGAATTCTTAAATAGATCAAAATCGCGAAAAGTGCCACTATTTATGGATGTTGAAGAAGAATCATCATCATCACCAACACCTCTAACACCACCACCACAATCATCACCAAAATCAACAGTTTCAACCGTTAGCGATGGGGGTATCACAAAAACGTGTTGGAATAATATTTATGGCCTTGATTTCAACGAAATATCAACACAAACATCAGAAGTAGAAGATAATTATACGTTTATGAACCATACAGATGAATTAATTTCACCTCTCATTTATAAATATGACAGTAATGGAAACGGCTGTGAAAAAATTCTATCGATTGGATATAGTTTATGGAAGGATGCAGCTCCTATTGTACGAATAGGATGTTCAAAATGTTGTGGTTTTATTGATTTTACACCTCCAGAA